GCCAATAGTCCGAATAATGTAAATAGTGTACATAATACCTCATCTCAGAAATATAGACAGATACGGAAAGGCCGAAACGCTGTAATAAATATGGCAACAAAGATGAGGCCAATAGTCCGAATAATGTAAATAGTGTACATAACACCTCATCTCAGATATATAGACAGATACTGAAAGGCCGAAACGTTTTAATAAATATGGCGACAAGATGAGGCCAATAATCCGAATAATGTAAATAGTGTACATAGTACCTCATCTCAGAAATATAGACAGATACTGAAAGACCGAAACGCTGTAATAAATATGTCGACAAAGATTAGGCCAATAGTCCGAATAATGTAAATAGTGTACATAATACCTCATCTCAGAAATATAGACAGATACGGAAAGGCCGAAACGCTGTAATAAATATGGCAACAAAGATGAGGCCAATAGTCCGAATAATGTAAATAGTGTACATAACACCTCATCTCAGATATATAGACAGATACTGAAAGGCCGAAACGTTTTAATAAATATGGCGACAAGATGAGGCCAATAATCCGAATAATGTAAATAGTGTACATAGTACCTCATCTCAGAAATATAGACAGATACGGGTAAAGCAAATATGATATTCTGATGATTAAGAAAGAATATGGACGACAGACGAATTCCTTTGATTTAAATAATAATATTGGATTTCTGGGATACAAAGGGATCTAAGCTAAGCGTAATATAGTTAATATGTCACTATCCTCTTCCCCAATACCAAATTTGGCTATTGTAACACATTCACTAATTAATTACCAAATAAAAATCAGTTAGTACAAATCTCATTGAATTAATATTTAGTTTTGAAAAAAATGACCAATCAGCTCATGAACATTGACTAAAAATTTGCGATGACCAGAATACGTTGAAGATGGATTTTCATGGAAGCATAAATCTTTGAGACACGTTAATTACAGTAATAAATATATAAAAAGATGGCAATGAAATCTTGAATTAAAAAAATCTTTAATTCGTTTTTAGTGCAATTATCAGTATTTGTTCTTTCAAACGTGTCTTATTAAAGAGTATAGACATGTTGTGTCTATTGAGTTAATCAATCTCTATCCCAGTATTATCCTTCGCAAAAACGGTACTTGTTAACTATGTATGGCTGTGTCCAGGCTTTCGACATCCTCAGTCATTTGTGAGTCATCCTCAGGGGCGTGTAATTAGTATGCTACCTGAAAAACGGTAATAGACGATAGTAGTGATGATTATACCGTTACATTTACAAAAGCTAAGAAAAACACTACCCCCCAATTAAAATATATGTAAATAATCTTTGAAGAACACAGAAACCGGATTTTTCTCAAATTCAAAAAGTCACAGGCAAATATCACCGCCCTTTATGTACCGTGTCCCTCGGAACGTAGGCGATCATGGCTCTCCACAATTTTCTAACTTTTCTAGATCTTAATAAATTTTGTCATCTTGTTATTTTTCCTAAATCCTGTTACGCCATCCATTTATTAAAACTCACTATGTTATGTGTTGTTTTCATCTGTCTCTCTTGCATTCAATCTCTCCTTTGAATATTAGATTCTCCAAACTCTCTTTCCTCATTATGTGCCCTAGAAATGTTAACTGTCTCTTCCTGGTGTTAAGTATAGGTTTTTTTTTTTACCATTCTCTCAAAAACTTCGTCGTTCAGTCTATGGTATCCTCAGAATCCATCTATTTCTTCAAGTCTCTTCATCTTTGAGAGGGTTGTACAACACTCACTGGCATACAAGAAAGACAGGTAATACGTAACAATTTAGTACACTTTTCCTTGTTTCTAGCGATGAGATTTTTTTTTTCTATTTCTTAGTCCTCTACTTAGCTTTTGAAATGTTTCCTTGGCTATCAAAATACGCCTTCGGATTTCAATGTAACGCTTTCCATCTTCTGTTAAAACACTTTCCAGATATTTAAATTTCCGCATTTGTTTGATTTTGGTACCTCCCGATTTGCAATTTGCACTTTGGATTCATCCTTTTGCTAACAACCATGCATTCTGTATTCTTGCAGTTGATCTTTAGTCCTTTCTTCTCGCTTTCCTTCACTGCCTTCTAAAGGAGTTCTTGTAGTTTCTTTTCTATGTCTGCTATCAACACTGTGTTATCTGCATATCTTATATTGTTAAAATTATGGCCGCCAAAACGAGAGGAAAAATATATGTTCATTATTAATAGTATAAGTTGTAGCTCTATTATTTTACATCGAATACTTATATTACGACCAGCATACAAGTTGTAATATTTTATGTTTATATATAATCTGTTCAATGGTGCATTATGGTTAGAAAGGTCTATTGTAATGATTCCCATTGGTCTATTGGTAATATATTGGTGAGACATGCGCAGGATGGTGTAAACCCTTCTGCTTACTATATCAACAGAATAAGGGGGCAATTGAGAATGAATTATTAACAGTGAACTTTATTCAATATGGAAGGCGTGATGGCATGGCTTTGTGATGAGACAATAACTAAATACCCAAATTCAAACCCCGTTGCAAGAAATTTGTTGTTACCCTTTCCATCTTCATATTGAGCTGAATGTGGTTTTAGTGCTGTAAATGATTTATTATTAAAGAAAAGAAATCGACTGGATATCATTAAACGAGAATACTTGAGGCTTAAGCTGACTAACTTGGTGCCTAATATAAAATCTGTCTGTAGCAGGTATGGTGAACAAGGATCTCACTAACAGTCATTTTGTGATGAGCTTAAATTTCATTTTGCATTATTATTTCATGATTAAAATGATCAAAGTATATTACAAAATAAGCTTTCATTCAAATATTTTATATTTCTGCCTTTCAGTTCTCTATTATATGTTTTGAAACTATATATATTTAACTGTATTTTTGTTTTTTTAATTTTTCTCTTTCATAGACACCATGGAAGTTTGTTCAGAGACCAAGTTAATGGCCTTTTAAATTTCCTTCATGTGAATTGCAGTAAAATTTTGAATATGTAAGAATTAAATATTACAGGGGACACCAGAATTTTAGAAATACCAAAGTGGGGCATGGCACAAAATCGGTTGGGAACCATTGGTCAATTGTATTATGCTAGCGGCTATTCGGTGGTAGCGGTGCTGTTTTAAATTATTCTAGACGCTGTCGCAATTTGGTGTTGACCTCACTGTCCACTTTTACTTATACATATGCCCTATCTTTGATATTGATCACTTTTACCCATAAATATAGCATACCTTAAAACTATATTTTATTTTATATGTATATATATATATATGTGTGTGTGTGTTGTCAATTCTCAAGAACAAAGAAGTGTATAAATTCACTTTCATATGTTTAAGTTTTATTAAAATTCTAATTATCGCTTTTTAGAACAGTAAACATTGCCAAAGAGTAGTTAAGATAATAACGATGTGAATAAAAAACCCGTTCTTTTTTCACACTCCGTATTTTTTGCGAACTGAAAGTCCAAATTTGAATTAAATTCTTTTTATTTAATAATAAAAAAAAGAATTGAAATGTGCTAATAAACATTTTAGTAACAATGTCAAGCAAAATTTTAGTTGTGTACAAATGTTCTCTGACTGGAATGAAACAGTAGTCACACTAAATAAATGAAAGTATAGGAAGGGAGGCACTATGGAGTAATGGATAGCTGCTCGGATTAGAGAATCGGAGAACCGAGTTCGAATTCCAATTGAATCCATTACATTCACTTACATGCTTGTATGACACAAAGCAAAAAAAAAAAGGGAAAAAATCTGCGTCGTCAGTCATGTATCGAATGATACATGATTGCCTAAGTATGTATCACACATGGTATATGACTTTAGGAGGCACAGTGGACTGATGGATAGTGATTCAGATTGAGGAATCGGAGAGCCGAATTTGAATTCCAATTGAATCCATTACATTCATTTACATGCTTGTATGTCACAAAGCGAAGGCAAAAAAACTCCAAAACAAAACAAAACAAAACAATAATAATAATACTTGAACATAAATGTGGGAGACACAGTGGAGTAATGAATAGTGGCTCAGATTGAGGAATCGGAGATGAATTCAAGTTCCAATTGAATCCATCACATTCACTTAGAATATGACACAAACCAAAGGCAAAAACCCAAATCAAAAACAAAACAAAGCAACAACAACAATAATAATAATAATACTTGAACATAAATGTGGGAGACACAGTGGAGTAATGAATAGTGGCTCAGATTGAGGAATCGGAGAGCCGAATTCAAGTTCCAATTGAATCCATCACATTCACTTAGATGCTTGTATGACACAAACCAAAGGCAAAAAAACCCAAATCAAAACAAAACAAAGCAACAACAACAATAATAATAATAATACTTGAACATAAATGTGGGAGACACAGTGGAGTAATGAATAGTGGCTCAGATTGAGGAATCGGAGAGCCGTGTTTGTAATTCCAGTCGAATCCATTACATTCATATACGTGCTAATAACCTTGGGAAATGTATGAATCCTCTTCTCCAGCATTCTATAGCATTGGATGGCAACCTACTGGATGGCAACGCAGAAAGAAATGGCAACCTACTGCAGAGAAAAAATCTGCCTCGTCAGTGATGGTCGCCTCCGTGTGTGTCACGCATGGTACATAACTGACGGAAATATAGAAATACAGAAAAATGAGAAAAATATATAATAGAAAAAGAAAACAATTTAAACGCTTAATTCCGTAATAATATAGTGAGAGTTGAAACCGTATTACTAATTTTAAGGGCTGTGTACGTGACAGAAGCTTCGAATGATTGAACGAGTAAATGTTATCCAAACATCTCAGTTTATAACTGACCACGGACTTTTAATAGAAAAAAACTATTAACAGAAAAGCAACGAACAACTTCGAAGGGACATAAACGGCAGAAAACCTATTAAACCTATAATTAGAAATCGAAGGGCAATTTACCGTTTTTCTTTCAGTAAATCAGACTTCGGAAACAACAACAAAAAAGATGACCAGTGATTAGAGAATGTCAACCTTAAGATTGGATAAAGATACTTTTTCTCAGTTTGCCCTTTCCCCTCATTTTTTTTTCTGTGTGCCACTGTGGTTCTTTCTCTCTTGGTTCTGTAAATAGTTTGTTACCTTTGTTGCTACTTAGAAAAGATAAAGAAAAAACATGACACATGTTTAGCCATTATTTAATACCAAAGTTATTTGTACCAGGAACAAATTTCCGAAATGTTAACCGTATCAAAGTTTCAGATATTTAAGGGAAAAATCGATCAAAATTCATCTATGGCCATTAGAAAAAATCCCGTATTTATGATATCGCAGAAGTTATAACGATTCGTTTGTGAAAAGAAGGAGGATATGAGAAAAATGTCAAAACTATTTTCCCGAGTATTATAAAAGGCGCAAAAATAGAGACACAAGACTCTTACACCGGCGTGAAATTTGAAAGAAATTTTCTTTTATTTAATGCCACATTAATAATAGCAGAGAAAGCAAAATTTACAAAACAGTGTTGCATAAAATTTTCCTTTGTGTGACATACAATTGGGCAAGATAACAAGTTCTGATTAAAATTCTGTTGTTCTCATAAAAATTATAATTATTATTAAAATGTTCTCGTCTATTCAATTGAATATCGAAAGGAGTTGAAAAAGATGGAAAATACACAGATGACGCTGGATTTCTTGTTTGTTTAGACAACTTTTCAATTTTATAAGCTGAGATTCAAAATTCAGAGGGATCACATACTTTCTTTAAAAAATTCAAAATCAGGCTTAATGCCTTTAATTTTGGGACAAATTTTCATAAATAAGTATAGAAAGATAATTGTATATACAGTGTAACCCGGATATAAGAGAGTTGTCGGGACCGGAGAAGAAGTCTCTTATAACCGGGTTTCTCTTATATCCGGGTTTCTCTTATATCCGGGTTACACTGTATCTTTAAGTTTGTATAAAATACATTATGCTTTCTTTTCCTTTTCATTCTTGCTTGTTTTTGTTTTGCTTTTAGTTTATTTTTTTTTTTGTTATTTCCTTTCCTCTTTCTTTTGTTATTTCCTCTTTCTTTTGTTATTTCCTTTCCTCTTTCTTTTGTTATTTCCTTTCCTCTTTCTATTGTTATTTCTCTTTCTCTTTCTAGTGTTATTTCTTTTTCTCTTTCTTTTGGTATTTCCTTTCCCCTTTCTTTTGGTATTTCCTTTCCTCTTTCTATTGTTATTTCTTTTTCTTTTTCTTTTGTTATTCATTTCCTCTTTCTTTTGTTATTTCCATTTCTCTTTCTTTTGTTATTTCCTTTCCTCTTTATTTTGTTATTTCCTTTCCTTTTTCTGTTGTTATTTCCTATCTTCTTTCTTTTGTTATTTCCTTTCCTCTTTCTTTTGTTATTTCCTTTCCTTTTTCTGTTGTTATTTCCTATCTTCTTTCTTTTGTTATTTCCTTTCCTCTTTCTTTTGTTATTTCATTTCCTCTTTCATTTGTTATTTCCATTACTCTTTCTTTTGTTATTTCTTTCCTTTTTCTGTTGTTATTTCCTATCTTCTTTCTTTTGTTATTTTTTTCCTCTTTTTTTTTTTATTTCCTTTTTCCTCTTTTTTTGTTATTTCCTTTCCTCTTTCTTTTGTTATTTCATTTTTTCTTTCTTTTTTGTTATTTCCTTTCCTCTTTCTTTTGTTATTTCATTTCCTCTTTCTTTTGTTATTTCCTTTCCTCTTTCTATTGTTATTTCTTTTTCTCTTTCTTTTGGTATTTCCTCTTTCATTTGTTATTTCCTTTCCTCTTTCTTTTGTTATTTCCTTTCCTCTTTCTTTTGTTATTTCCTTTCCTCTTTCTTTTGTTATTTCATTTCCTCTTTCTTTTGTTATTTCATTTCCTCTTTCATTTGTTATTTCCTTTCCTCTTTCATTTGTTATTTCCTTTCCTCTTTCTATTGTTATTTCTTTTTCTCTTTCTTTTGGTATTTCCTCTTTCATTTGTTATTTCCTTTCCTCATTCTTTTGTTATTTTTTTTCCTCTTTCATTTGTTATTTTTCCTCTTTCTTTTTGTTATTTTTTTCCTCTTTCATTTGTTTTTATTTTTCTTTCTTTCTTTTGTTATTTTTTTTCCTCTTTCTTTTGTTATTTCCTTTTCCTCTTTCATTTTTATTTTCTTTCCTTTTTTCTTTTTTTTTTCTTTTTCTCTTTCTTTCTTTATTTCCTCTTTCATTTGTTATTTCCTTTCCTCTTTCTTTTGTTATTTCCTTTCCTCTTTCTTTTGTTATTTCATTTCCTCTTTCTTTTGTTATTTCATTTCCTCTTTCATTTGTTATTTCCTTTCCTCTTTCTTTTGTTATTTCATTACCTCTTTATTTTGTTATTTCCTTTCCTCTTTATTTTGTTATTTCCTTTCCTTTTTCTGTTGTTATTTCCTATCTTCTTTCTTTTGTTATTTCCTTTCCTCATTCTTTTGTTATTTTTTTTTTTTTTCTGTTGTTATTTCCTATCTTCTTTCTTTTTTATTTCTTTTTTTTTTTTTTTGGTATTTCCTCTTTCATTTGTTTTTTCCTTTCCTCTTTCTTTTGAATTTTATTTTTCCTTTTTTCTTTCGATTGTTTTTTCCTTTCCTTTTTCTTTTTTATTTCCTTTCCTCTTTTTTTTTTTTTTCTTTCCTCTTTCATTTGTTTTTCCTTTCATTTTTTTTTTGTTTTTTCCTTTCCTCTTTTTTTTTTTATTTTCTTTTCCTCTTTTTTTTTTTTTTTTTTTTTTTTATTTTTTTTTTTTTTTTTTTTTTTTCTTTTTTTTTTTTATTTCCTTTCCTTTTTTTTTTTTATTTCCTTTCCTCTTTCTTTTTTCTTTTATTTCCTCTTTCTTTTTTTTCATTTTTTTTTTTTTTTTTTTTTCTTCTTTCCTCTTTTTATTTTTTTTTTTTTTCCTCTTTAATTTTTATTTTCCTTTCCTATTTTTTTTTTTTTTATTTTTTTCCTCTTTCATTTGTTATTTCCTTTTCCTTTTTCTATTTTTATTTTTTTTTTCTTTCTTTTGGTATTTCCTCTTTCATTTTTTTTTTTTCCTCTTTCTTTCTTTATTTTTTTCTTTCTTTTTTTTATTTCATTTCCTCTTTTTTTGTTATTTAATTTCCTCTTTCATTTGTTATTTTTTCCTCTTTTTCTTTTTTTATTTCATTTACCTCTTTATTTTTGTTTTTCCTTTCCTCTTTATTTTTTTTATTTTTTTCCTTTCTGTTGTTATTTCCTTATCTTTTTTTTTTGTTATTTCCTTTCCTTTTTTTTTTGTTATTTTTTTCCTCTTTCTTTTTTTTATTTCCTTTCTCTTTCTTTTGTTTTTTCATTTCCTCTTTCTTTTGTTATTTCCTTTCCTCTTTCTTTTGTTATTTCATTTCCTCTTTCTTTTGTTATTTCCTTTCCTCTTTCTTTTGTTATTTCATTTCCTCTTTATTTTGTTATTTCATTTCCTTTTTCTTTTGTTATTTCATTTCCTCTTTCTTTTGTTATTTCCTTTCCTCTTTCTTTTATTATTTCATTTCCTCTTTATTTTGTTATTTCCTTTCCTCTTTATTTTGTTATTTCCTTTCCTTTTTCTGTTGTTATTTCCTATCTTCTTTCTTTTGTTATTTCCTTTCCTCTTTCTTTTGTTATTTTCATTTCTTTTTTTGTTATTTATTTTCTCTTCTTTTTTCTTTTTTTATTTATTTTTTCTCTTTCGTTTGGTATTTCCTTTTCATTTGTTATTTCCTTTCCTTTTCTTTTATTTATTTCTTTTCCATTTTTTTTTTTGTTATTTAAATCTTCTTTCTTTTGTTATTTCCTTTCCTCTTTCTTTTTTGTTATTGATTTTTCCTTTTCTATTGTTATTTCTTTTTCTCTTTCTTTTGGGTATTTCCTCTTTCATTTAAAATTTATTTCCTTTCCTCTTTTTTTTTGTTACTAAATATTTCCTCTTTCTTTTTTATTTCCTTTCCTCTTTCTTTTGTTATTTCATTTCCTCTTTTTAAATTTATTTCCTTTCCTTTTTTTTTTTGTTATTTTCCTTTCCTCTTTCTTTTGTTATTTCATTTCCTCTTTCATTTTTATTATATGCCTTTCTCTTTTTCTATTTTATTTTTTTTTTTCTCTTTTTTTTGGTATTTCTCTTTTTTTGTATTTCCTTTCCTCTTTTTTTTTTTATTTCCTTTCCTCTTTCTTTTTGTTATTTCATTTTTTATTTCCTCTTTTTTTTTTATTATTTCCTTTCCTCTTTCTATTTTTATTATTTTTCTCTTTCTTTTTTGGTATTTTCCTCTTTTTTTAATTTTTCTTTTTCCTCTTTCTTTTGTTATTTTATTTTCTTTCTTTTTTTTGTTATTTCCTTTTCTTTCTTTTGTTATTTTCATTTCTTCATTTTTTCTTTTTTTATTTCCTCTTTTCTTTTGTTATTATTTCCTTTTTTTTTGTTATTTCATTTTCTTTCATTTTTTATTTCCTTTCCATTCTTTCTTTTGTTATTTCTTTCCTCTTTTTTTGTTATTTCCTTTCCCTTTTGATTTTGTTTCTTTTTCCTCTTTCATTTGTTATTTCCTTTCCTCTTTCTATTGTTATTTCTTTTTCTCTTTCTTTTGGTATTTCCTCTTTCATTTGTTATTTCCTTTCCTCTTTCTTTTGTTATTTCCTTTCCTCTTTCTTTTGTTATTTCATTTCCTCTTTCTTTTGTTATTTCCTTTTTTTTTTTTGTTTTTCTTTTTTTTCTTTTTCTTTTGTTTTTTTTCATTTCTTCTTTCTTTTGTTATTTTTTTTGATTTTTTTTTTTTTCCTTTTGTTCTTTATTTTTGTTATTTCATTTCCTTTTCTTTTGTTATTTCATTTCCTCTTTTTTTTTGTTATTTCTTTTCCTCTTTCTTTTTTTTATTTCATTTCCTCTTTCTTTTTTTTTGTTCCTCTTTCATTTTTGTTATTTCTTTTCCTATATTTTTGTTATTTTCCTTTTCCTTTTAACAATTTATTTCCTCTTTCCTTTTTTATTTTACTTTTTCCTCTTTCTTTTTGTTATTTCCTTTCCTCTTTCAAAACCAAATTTCCTTTCCTCTTTTTTTGAACTAATTTCCTTTCCTCTTTTCCCTTTGTTATTTCCTTTCCTCTTTTTGAAAATTATTTAAAAAATTTTTTTGTTATTGCCTTTTTCCAAAACAAAAATTTATTTTTTTTCCAAGAAAAATCAGTTATTTCCTTTCCTCTTTCTTTTGTTATTTCCTTTCCTCTTTCATTTGTTATTTCCTTTTTTCTTTCAAAAGAAATTTATTTAAGGTTAGAAAGATCTTTCTTTTGTTATTAATTTCCTCTTTCATTTGTTATTTCCTTTCCCTTTTATTTGTTATTTCCTTTTTCTCTTTCTTATTTTTTAATTTCTTTTTTCATTTTTATTTTGTTAATAAAAACGATATATTTCTGTTTATTTCCTTTCCTCTTTAAACAAATTTTTTCCTTTCCTCTTTTTTTTTTTATTTAAATTTCAGATTAGGAATTTTTTTTTTTTCAAAATTTTCATTTTTATTTCCTTTCCTCTTTCTTTTGTTACAGAATTTCCTCTTTCATTTGTTATTTCCTTTAGATTTCTTTTTATTGTTATTTCTTTTTCTCTTTCTTTTAAAATTTTTTTTTTTCATTTGTTATTTCCTTTCCTCTTTCTTTTTTTATTCTTTCCTCTTTCATTTTTATTTCATTTTCCTCTTTCTTTTGTTATTTCATTTCCTTTTTCTGTTGTTATTTCCTTTCCTCTTTCTTTTGGTATTTCATTTCCTCTTTCTTTTGGTATTTCCTTTCCTCTTTCATTTTCGACGTCGTAGTCGTCGGTTTCGCCTTTGTGAATACCAAATTCTATCTGTCTGCTTTTTTTTCTTCTTTTTCTTCATCTAAGTTCAGCTCCCAACAATCTGCCGTCGACTTTCACCTGCAAAAGCCAAAGCCCTTCTTGCTTGTAAAAGCCAAATTAGGCCTGACTGTCAGACAAGCCAGACTTCTTAAATAGCTACAAATCGGCGCCGAGTTGAATCAGAAATTTGATACTTTGTACTCAAAATTTTCCCCATTGGTTAAGAAATCACAAACACCCCTGTTCGCCAGTTTTACTAAGGCGAGTTTTAACCATCGGACTTGGGTCGCATTATTTACAAGTTTTGAAAAATAACTTTTATCCGTGTACCTTTTCCTCCAACAGGAATCGAACTTGTGTCCTATATCGAACCGTCAATTGATCTAACGTGACCCAGCTATAGAGAAGCATCTGGTTTGCGTTCTCTTGAGCAGATATGATTGTTGGGGAAAGATTTGTTGTTTAAAAATAGTAATATGGACTTTGCTAACCAGACGCTTCTCTATAGCTGAGTAGTATACCACGTCAGATCAATTGACGGTTCCGTTTAGGATACAGTTTCGATTCCTGTTGGGAAACGTATACTTTCTACGAAATTTCTCAATTATTTAGGCCAGTAAATGTAATTAATTCTGTTTATTTGAAAAACAGAACATTTAATCAAATCAATTGTATCTATTAAAATAACGCATAGACAGAAAATATATTAAAATAATTGTCAGACTTAATATTTTTCATATATATATATATAGAAAATATACATATATATATATATATATATATAATTTATATTAGTCGGACACATTAGTCGAATATATATATATATATATATATATATATATATATATATATATATATATAAGTTATGAAAAACTTGGTAATCTCTATATGTAATCCCAAGGAGGATGAAATATATATATATATGTAAATCCAGAGCTAATATTTAAAAGAAAAACAGACCACTTTAAGGTACCATTATAATAATTTATTTCACCACAGCCCTTTTAAAAGACGCCGGATCATCAGATACCACTTCCCAAAAAAAAAAATGAAACGAAAAATGAAATTAAAATTGATGGGTAGTGTAAGTTTTTGTAATTTAACAGAGTGTAAAAGGGATAGTTAAAGAGACATGGTAGAGTATAGGGAGGGATTAATTTCATATCTCTCTCAAGCATAATTAGTATTGTAAAAAATTTCTTACAATTAACAATAACACATTTCTAAAAACATTTTTCCGGATTACATCTATATTTTCGTTGTCCTGTTATTACCGAGAAGTAAAAAAGAAAAACAAATCTATTTCCATACCTGAAGATGTCTGTAGGAACAGACGAAAGCTTTTAAAAAACTAAAAAAGACCTTATGCAACTGGAATTTATAAACAGGGATCATATCATTCATATACAGGGTCGGGGTTAGTGTATCTTATTGAAATTGTTTGCGAAGATGTATTCTCGACATTTAAATCATTAACTTCTATATCTGTTTTTGTATGAATGATTCATGTAATATATATATATATATATATATATATATATATATATATATACATTGTCTGTTGAAATTTATAATCCTTTATGTTTTGAATATCTTTATTTCTTGCTGACTAATTACAAAGTTGTCTCTCAAAGTTCTTTGTCCCAAAAAAAAAAATCTCTCTTCAAAATTTGGTTAACGAGCATCTGGCTTGTTGCTTTCATGTTGAATACTTTTAATATTCTGTTCCTTCATTCTCTTTGATAATTGTTTCTTTTCAAATCGAAACGGTGAACAATCGTATATTTTCTCTTCTTTCTTTTTCTGGCTTTACTCCTCCAACATCTTATCTTTCTTTTCCTCATTCTATTCATCATCATCATCACCATCATCGTCGTCGTCGTCGTCATCGTCGTCGTCATATTTATCACATTACATTTCAATTCATACAAGTTTACTTAGCTGAAGTAAATGAAGAATTTCTTTTTTTCTTTTCTCTTGTTCCTCTTCGTCTTCTTTTTTTTCTTCTTTTTCTATTCTTTTTTCTTGCTTATCGCATCCGTTATCATTGGAATTTGTCACATGACCACCATTATGAAGACTTAATCATAACAATTATTAATATTAATATGGTGGCCATTACGATTTAAGTCGTCTTCGATAATCAAGAAATAGTATATCTCCAAATGATATATTTACTTATCCCTGAGAATGTCGTACCCATCATCGTCATCGTCATCATCATAATCATCATTTTCAACCTCCCTGCTTTTTCTCCTATTCTTTTCCTTTTCTTCCTCTTTATCACTTTCATATATTTTTCATTTTTTATCCTTTTTTATCTTTTTATTTTTTTTTTTGCTTCTTTTTTCTTCCTATTCTTCTCATTTTCCTACTTATATTTTCTTCTTTTTTCAACGCTTTTATTCTTTATATATTTTTCTTTATTTTTCTCCTCTCCATTTTCTCTTCCTTTTTCTATTCTTCATTTTTCTTCTCTGTCTCATTATTGTCTTCTGCATTATTCCTTTTTCATATATTTCCTTTTTTCATCTTTTTCTTATCTATTTCTTTCTATATTTTCTTTCATATATATTTTTCTTCTCTTTTTTTCTCTTTTTCTTTTTCATCTTTTTCTTCTTTTTCTTATCTATTTCTTTCTATATTTTCTTTCATATATATTTTTCTTTTTTTTCTTCTTTTTCCTCTTTTTCTTTTTCTTTTTTCTTCTTTTTCCTCTTTTTCTTTTTCTTTTTTTTCTTCTTTTTCCTCTTTTTCTTTTTCTTTTTTCTTCTTATTCCTCTTTTTCTTTTTCTTTTTTTTCTTCTTATTTTCTCTATTTCATTTTCTTGTTTTTCTTCGTCTTCTTCTTCTTTTACGTGTTTTTCTGCTTTTTAGTTTCTTTTTATCTGCACGGATTTTTTTTTTAATTTGTAATGTTTTTGTTTTTTTTAAATTTCTCATCGCAACAAAAAAAACGATAAAAAGCGTTAAAGATAAACGTAAGAAACACTTTTTATTTTGTCATCAGTGAATTTCTTTTTTCTTTTTTTTCTTTTTTCTTTTTCCTTTTTCCTTTTTTCTTTTTTCTTTTTCTCTTTTTTCTTTTTTTTGCAGCGTTTAAATGTGATTCCAATTAGTAAAACGTTCCAACTGCCAGGAGATTTTTAATATGCAATAAAGAATAAATGCCACATTCATTTCTACAGAAATGAAAGAATATTTTAATTCTTTTCAAATTATTTATATTTGTTGCTTTATACATATGTACTACTCAAGTTGTATTTTATATATTATATATATATATATATATATATATATATATATATATATATGCGCTTTTTATTGGTGTTGAGTTTTTTCCCTTTGTGTGGGGGGGCACTAAATATTTATTTATTATTTCAAACGTTATTATCGTGGATACCTTTACTGAATAGAGAGTCCCTGTATTTATAGTTATTCTAAACAGTGTATATTATGTCTATCACCCTGCGTATTCGAGAAATATTTTAATAAAGAAAATGTGCTCTCCTGCAGTGATCAAACCTACGTCCTTCTTTGTAGAGGAAACCACGATTGATCCAGTGTCCTTTACCATTTGAAAAAAAAATCAGTTATGGTCAGTTTTATCCCTTTGCGTTACGAAAAAAAATTACGTTTTTAGACAACCATTCAAACTATCTCGTGATACATAGGAACAAAAACTGGCTATAACTTTGATTTTACAAATGCCACCCTAACTAAAAAAAAAAAAATAATTCTTTTACGTAGAATGTACTTCGAGGGATTACTAATAACTATATTACCAACAAATATATGCCAAAATAACATTATATTACATCACCAACCTTTACTGAATCCATTCTTAAAGAATCTAACGTATGTTTATCTAAAACAAACGATATGTACGTAAAACGTTTACAAATCAACATGCGAAAAACCAACAAACATAACTAGACACAGACACACACACATTTTTACGAATATACATTATACCCTGAATCTCGCATAGACAAACTAGAATTACAGTACACTTACATACATATGCAATATTTACAGTTTTCAGGTAGGCTTGGAATCCGTTAATTTCTTGAAACTACAGAAAGACACGTCCTCTCTCCTTGAATTCGGAACACCACAGATTATACTAATTTTTTCCAGTATTCTTACATTTTACCGTCTGGTGGGAGTGCAAAAATTATCCGTATTGTCTATTGTCCCAAGCGCTTTCGGCCACTTCTTTAGTCATTTTCAAGACTGGGGTAGTTATTATTAACTTATTTTTATGTTTAACTGCTTCATTTTTGCACTCCCTTATTCCCACCAAACGGAAAAAATATAAGAATGTCTAAATAAAAACTTCATGAAATTTTCCTTGTCTATCATATTCAACGAAACGTGTCTGAAAGAAGGGTTGCTACCGAAATATACATTATATACAAAAAATAAATATGAGCTTTGGCAAATTTACCGATAACATAAAACAACTAATTCGGAGATTTGAGAAATTTGATAAAAATTTGATAGACAGTTTTTAATTATCCTGTGCAAAAAGATTTGCTTATTCAAAGGACTTAAAGCATTCTTCATACAGTCAGACATATTTAGATTAGAAATAGGTATTTATTTAGTCAATTTGTAAGTTATTTTTATTGCTACTTCTGGTTTATTTCGTTCCTGAAAAACCTAAGGTCATATCAAAAGTTACTTTTTTTACTGTTTTTTTTTTTTAATTTAACCATGGAGAATATTCTCGATCCTTTCCTAAGACCGTGATCAGATCGTTTCTTAAGACAGTGATCCGATCCTTTCCTAAGACCGGTATCCGATCCTTTCTTAAGACCTGAATCCGATCCTTTCTTAAAACCGGGATCCGAACCTTTATTAAGACCGGGATCTGATCCGATCCTAGGACCAGAATCCGATCCTTTATTAAGACCTTTATCCGATCCTTTCTTAAGACCGGGATCCGATCCTTTCTTAAAACCGGGATCC